GACCCTCTTCCCTCTCGTGCTCTCTATCTCTCATTCTCTCTCTCTCTCTCAAATAAATAAATAAAATCTTTAAAAAAAAAAAAAAAAAAAAAAAGATAAATATTCCCAGGCTCACCACAAAGATTCTGATTCAGCAGGGCTGTGGAGAGATAGAGGAATCTGTATTTTTAAAGCTCCTAGATGAATCTGAGGTGGTATTAGAACCTCTGTACCAGGAAATACTAAGAATAATATTTTAGCTTGGTATCAGCAATATCCTCCTTTAGCCAGATACATGTATTACAATCAAATTATCAAATCAAGACGTGAATTGGTGATAAACATATACATTAAATCTAGGTCAAGGGCATGTGCATTTTCAGAATGGAAGGCTTAATTAGTTGTATTGGGGCAAGCCCCTTGGGAGTCACATATCCAGTTTGCAGCAGTTCTTAATAATCTAGCAAGATTTTGAGGAAGAGATAAGCTTTAGTGATTGTTTAGAATTTAAGCAGTTAGTGATTGAGAGAAGCTAATGGGGAAATAAAAGAGCGTTACACATACAGAATATTGTTGAAGAGTTCCTGCCCATAGTAATAGGAAGTGAAATCAAGAGACTTGAATTTTAATTCTGATTAATCTACTTACTACCTTTCAAACCCTGGAACTCATTTTCCTGTTACATAAAATGAGGAGGCTTGATAGACGGTTACTATATTCACTTCAATTCCTAAGTAGACTGAAGATAATGTTCCCTTTGTCATCACAGACACTCTAGAGAACAACTACGTTGGACAGTTTCCTCTGTATGTATTGTAAGTCTTGGGCACAAGTCTGACAGAAGCAAAGCTGATTGTGTTTAAAAAATTGAAATGAGGCAAGATGGGAACATTCAGCAGTCTTTCCACAGAGCCCCTTCTGTACAAGTTCTTCAAAGCCTGTGTTCTGAGACCCTTGTTGACCTATAGGAAACTATCCATATTCTGAAACTCCTGTTTCTACATTATAGGAGCACATCTCCATTCATTTCAGGGATACATATTTGTTATTTCATGAAAAGAACTCCTGAGTTTTTGTTTGTTTTTGTTTTGTTTTTTTGCTGACAGGCTGAAGTTAGGCTCCAGGAGAAGAGATGGCTTCAACTTGTATTTATGTTTTCCTCCTCAGGCTCTGCAGATGGTGTGGGGAGGAGGTTGCACTCAGCCCCTGGCCTTGGTCTCTCAAAGACCCCAACAGCAGAAATGGAGCACAGTCTCCATGAAGCCAGCACAGTGCCTGCTTCTCAGGTAGCAGCCTCAGGTCCTACAGTGCTGGCATGGGGTGGTGCATTGGGAAAGGAAGTGTGGAAAGATATGAGTGGTAGGATTGGTGGTAAGGCAGGAGCATGGTAACGTGGGGCTGTTGGAAGAGAACAAGGTCTGTGATTGAGCGGAGATTGCCACATGGCCACTACTTTTCAAATACATCTAATTCAGGTCTCTAGTAGTGAGGTCTTAACCTATTTTCTCCCATACCCCTGGGGACAGGGTCTGTGGGAAAACCATAGGTCTGGTGTTTCGTGTCTGCCTGTGTGTGTCTGTGTGTTTGAAGGCTGCACCTTGCCAAGGCCCCAGGAAGGAATATGGGGAGGATGATCGGTGCGGTGTAGAGAACTTTCACTGCATCTCACACAGACTTAGTGGCACCGTTGTCTCAGAGAGGGACGAGACTCCAGTCTCTTCCCACAGTTTTGTAAGTAGAATCAGGCTGTATCCATTCAGAGCACCCTCTTTCTTTTGCTAAGGTAAAAATACACTGTAGGTGGAGGGGCAGGGGAAACTAAAAGTTGTAATTTAGGGGAAAGCCATTTGCACTCAGCAAAAATGATGACACATAGTCATTACTTTATTGACACACATTTTGTTGGAGTCCAGAGGAATTCCCCTTCCCTGTAGCAGTTCTGGAAGGTATATTATAGGGTTCCCTAGGATGAGAAGAGTCCTAGTAGCCTAGTAGCCTTGAGTCTCAAAAGCAATAGCTGCTGATTGGGTCAAAACCCATTGCACTAATCAAGGGAAGAAGGGAAGACATGGGATGGGGTATTGTTTTTACCTTTTCCTCCCCACTCCAGTATAAGATTGAATGGGGTCCAATATGCTTTCATGCTAAAATGAAGCATGTGCATTAGCAAGAAAAGGAAAATGATTTAAAATCTTCCTCCTTGAGGCTTTTCATTTGGAATCAATGCAGTGATCTGTAGGTGAAAGGGACAGGGACACCGAAGTCAGCAGAATCAATAACTCAAATATTTTCAGTGGCTGGGTTTATAAATTATCCTTTTGAGAATTTCACACACTTGCCTAAGGCAAGTTGAGTTTTGATTACAATGGAGGTCAGGATGCAAAGCTCCAGTGCATTAAAGCTTGTTCACCAGGTCAGTTCAATAAAAATTTAAAAACCAGTTTTAAATACATGATATAAAAATTAAAAGGTATAAAGGATATACAGTGAAAACTAAGTCTCTGTCCTACTAGTACTTCAGATCCAGTTTCTCTCCCAAACAACAGTCATTTTTTTCCAATTTATTGTTCAAAATTTCCTAAACAACTCTAAACAGCTTGCCATTCTTTTTGGGAAAAGTGATCGTTTTTGCGTAGCATTTGTTCTTATGTACTGTTAGTGAATTTAATGGCAAATTGTTATTTTTCTAAGGAGTTGGCTTCCTTTCTCCTGACTTCTATATCATTCATTTATTCACTGATTCATTTTTTTAAACAAATGCTTATTGGGCATATGTTCTAGGTATTGTGCTAGGTGCTGGGTATACAATGGTGAGTGAGCTAGATGTAGTCCCTTCTGTCATGGCCTTTACAGTCTACTTGGGGAGACAGATAAAGAAAGACTTACTATGATAGGATTTAATGCTATGGAAGCATAATAGAAGGGACATCTAACCAGATTTGAGAGATCAGGGAAGGCTTCCTGAAGGAAGTAAAACAAATACGGCCGGTAAAGGAACATGAAGCAGATATTCACTGAATCAAAAGCAGCTCATTTGGTATGGCAGGATTGGATTCTGGCGAGGGAAGGACAGTGTTGACAAATGAGACTGGGAAGAATATAAACAAGAGTCATATCATGAACCACAGTACGGAGTTTGGGAGGATAAAGAGAAATGGACATGTTGGAGAGCCAAAGAGGAAGTAAAAGTCATTGGGACTTGGTGCCTGATTGGATATGGGGAGAGGAGAATCAAGGACCCATAATTCTTGGGTTGATAATGATGTATTTGAGGGAAAAGATATGTATAATTTTGGATATATTATGTTTGTGATATCTGGTAGGCCTTTGGATGTGACATGTAAAGCTTGAAATCAAGATTCAAGAGTCATAGCCATTGAAAAGAGTATTGTGAAAAGAGGAGAGCGGACAGGATATATCCCTGATGAATATCATATTTAAGTGGTTCATCTGCAGAACCCTTAAAAGGAGTGAGGACCAGAGAGATAAAAGGGAAACCAGGAAAATGTGGCATCACTTTCTTCTGTGCAGAAGAAAGGAATAGTTGGCTGTTTCCCATACTGAGAGGATTGGCACCTGGTCCTTAGGCTGTACGGTAAATGCCTATTATGTACCGTGCTGTGGTAGGTGCTATGAGCATACACTGATGAAATAACACAAATTCTGCCCTTGAATAGCTTACAGCCTAGTTAGGAAATAAAACATACTGGTATATAGATTATTTTATTTAATTTATTATTTATTAGATGCCTGTAATGTTCCAGGTCCTGTTGAGGTTGCTGCGAATACTGGAGTAAAAAGAAATTATTCTACCAGGAGAGAAGGACAATAAACAAGTGAAGCCCAAACAATGTGTGATCGAGAAGAATAGAACAAAGCAAGGGGAAAAAGAGTAAAGAGGTAATAGTGGTTATTCTCAGGGCTATTTTGGATAGAGTAGTAAGTGAAAAGGCCCTGAGTTGGAATGAGCTTGGTGTGTTTGAGGAACATTAAGAAAATTATAGTGAAAAAGGCATAGGAATGGTAGAGATAAAGTGAGAAAGATCAGCATTGCTATCACATAGCAACTTGCAGGCCACAATAAGGAAGTAGCAGGCCTGGAGATAGGAAGATCAGATTGGAGGCTGTTGCAGTGGTCCACTTGAGCTTAGATATGAAACCTATAGGTAGAAATGATATTTCTTGACAAAGGCAACTAATGGAATCGTGGATGAGAAGTGCAAAAGTAAGGGCAATGTCAACATTTGAATCTAGGTGACGTAGGAAAATGTGGTACCAGGAGGTGGAATTTGGAAGGATGTTGGTTTGATCTTGGACATATTAGTGTTTTAGGTGTTAAAGGGGTATTTCTGAGACTTTGCCACAAAAGTGAATGACGAGTGGAGTACAGAACAGGACACAAGCATCAGTGGTTACAAACTCTGGCAAAAGAGGAGACTGGAGTGTAGCATTGACAGGGGAGAAGGTGGAGTAGTAGAGTTCTTGATTGTACATTTAGGGAGATACATTTTTCGTTCCCAGTATTTAGAGAGTGTACAGAGTTTTCTTTTTCAGTCTCTTGGGCTTTCCGATTTTTTTTCTTTCTTATTTCTCTATTTTTACATTTCTATCTCAACCTGATTCTACTGTTAGCATTAAAGAGTTTGCCAAAGACCTAGATGGTAGGGTTGGGAAGATGAGGGCTATGAGAGAGACAGGTTAAAGGAAGAGGATCTGCAGTTCCATGTCTCCAGTTCGTAGTGGCCTCAGGATGGTCCTAGCGGGGCTGATGGAAAGAGTGACTGAGTAAATTGAGTCCCTCTACAGAACTAGGCATATTGGTACTCCAGTCCCCTCCATCTCTCCCTGCTTGCCTCACTGTGTTTACCCAACCATATCCGGCTGTGTGTTAATCCTCATCTTTATGTTTTTTTGTCTTGTCTCACTATAAGGATGCATCAAATGCGAGGAAAAAGCCTTTGGAAACCGGGCACCGTTGTTCCAGCTCCTCTTCCCTCCCTGTCATCCATGATCCTCCTGTGTTTCTCCTTGGTCCCCAACTGTACCTACCCCAACCACAGTTCCTGTCCCCAGATGCCTTGATGCCCAGCATGGCAGGGGAGCCCCATAGAACCCCAGGTAACTCTCCCCAGACCTAATTATCATGTGCCATAATGTGGTATCTTCCCAGAGACAACCTAGAGAGATCAAATCAGTACACCTATGGGGGGGTGGAGTCCCAAGGTAGGTAGTGAAGGGATATGAATTACCACTTTAAGATCAAATATCGGTCAAGATGAATTGTGATTGAATCATTACTTGGTTAATATGGTTGGCTGGTCTTGATCCTTAGTCTAACTACCCAGTAGAATGAACAGGGTCCAACACGATAAGATAAGCTTTTAAGCGACCAAGGGAAGTTAATACCCAGTCTTTAGGATCCTCCCAAATCCTCCTCCTGGAGAGACCCTGTGTGTGGACTACCTGTGCCGTGTATACAAATCCAGACAATCTTGGGGAAGGTGGATAGCATCCTTCTGGCTTTCTTTCACCCTCCATAGGATTTGCTACTTTTCTTCCTCATGAAGAGCCCGAGTCTACTTAGAGCAGGGATTCTCAATGGGAAAGGGAAGGTACTACTGGCATCTAGTGAGTGGAAGTCAGGGATGCTGCTAAACATCCTACAATGCACAGGGCAGTTTACCTCCATGATCCTCCCTCCACCCCCCCCCAAAAAGTATTATCAGCTCAAAGTATCAGTAGTGTTGAGATTGAGAAACCTTGGCTTACAGATATAAATGCCCTAGGGCAGGGTGTGGTTGTGGTTCTAGAACAGAAGGTAAGAGTAGTAGTATTGGTGTGTGTCCACATTTTAGGGAGGTTTAGATAAGCAGGCCTTCTGGGTAGATGAACTTCCTATTACTCAGTGGAGCAGCCAGGTAGCCATCCCCTTTGGCAGCTGTTAGGGGCATCTGTTCCAGTTGTTAGGGGCAGCCTATTCTGCACTAAATGCTATAGTGAACATAGGGGAGAAAGAAGGCAGCTCTCTGTTCTTAAAAGAGCTCAGAGCTGCAATAATCAGAATATACATACATACAAGAGTATACTGCAGATGTTGATGGGTTATAAAATAAAGAATGGAAAGTATTTTTAAGAAGTGATTTTTTTTATTTTGCGGGGTGCCTGGGTGGCTCAGGCAGTTGGGCATCCAACTCTTGATTTCGGCTCAGGTCTTGATCTCGGGGTTATGAGTTCAAGCCCTGTAGTGGGCTCCATGCTGGGCGTGGAGCCTACTTAAAAAAAATAGAAGTGACTTCTTAAAATTATGTATTTTGTTTATTTTAAGTAAAGGGGAATTAATGTATAGAAAAGGCATTCCATACTGTGTATGTGGTAGGAGTAGTGTGAACAAAAACAGAGATCTCAGGGACTGAGCAAGAATGTAAACAGAAACAGATTAACTGGAGTGAAAGTATCATATTAAGAAAAGCAGAGTGATGTTTTGGAGTGGTGGCTCTAGGAGTAGAGTTGTTACAGTGAGAATATATATTTGTAATATTGGGGAGCCATTTGTGGGGAGGGTGTGGAGGAAGAATTATAGTAGAGTGAAGTATGGCAACATTTGCCCAGGTTGGAGGTAAGAGACTTGATTTTGATGTATGTTAAGAATTTCTAAAAATGAAATTAAAAGCAAAGCTAGGTTTCTTCTTTCCCTTATGTGTATGCTCTTATGGCTACGGGGAGTTGAGAGGAACAGTCAGGAATGGTCCTTTGGGAAGGAGAATGGTTTACTGAAGATGCTTAATCTTTGGGTTTCTTTTTCTCTTCCCAGGAACTTCGAGGACTGTCCAGCAGTTTCTGGCTATGTGTGACAGGAGTGAAACTTGCCAGGGGATCAAGTACACAGGAAGAACTCTGAACTACCAGAGTCTCCCCCATCGTTCCAGAACAGATGCCTCTTGGGGGCCATGGTCAGAGACCAGCCAGCATATTGGAGCCAGATTCCTGAGTATTCCAGGATGCAAGCCTCAGCCGACACACACTGCCACACTACCAGAAAGGCGCCAGGGCCTTCAGGTTCCTCATGCTCAGTCCTGGGGTGATCTTTTCCATTCTTCCTCCCACCCTCCCATTGTTTACCCTGTGTCTCCACCATCAAGCAGTCTTCATGTACCCCTGAGGTCAGCTTGGAATTTGGGTCCTGTTCCTGGGTCTCGAGGCTCTGGTCCTCGAAGAGTAGATATGCCCCCAGATGATGACTGGAGGCAAACCAGATATGTCCCACAATCTGGGCATAGGAGGACAAGGGGAGAGGAGTTTTTGTTTGTTCTAGCAGATGCTCCTGGAAGAGAGCAGATAAGGGCAAGAGCCCTGCAGCACAATAGGTGGTAAGGGTCACCCCTTTCCTTTCCCGGAGCCACAGCTTTCTCCGTTAAACTGTACTGTGGAGGAGTTAGCACCCTGCATCCGTGCCAGGGTTGTGCTAGTCTCATCTCAACATAGAGTCAGTAGTTTCTTCTAGGGGTACCTGGAACCCCTAAAAAGACCTGGCTCCTTGAGAGGAATATTTGAAATTCCAATTTCCATTCAACTGGCAAAAGGAAGCAACTGCTGTTTAGGGCTTTATTTGAGCCACTTTAAAGATGAATCCATATTACCCTGGACACTAGTCATTCCTTAGGATCTTAGGGTCACCATTTTATTCCTGGATCCTTTATGCCCCCACCTGCACCTGAGCCTTCATCCTCTGTTCCCTACAATACTGCCAACTTCTGTTCTTTGTTTTACCAACATATCCTTATTACCTGACCTTCCGTCTTCCCCAGTACCCCATCCTTGGAGGAGCATGTAGCTGTGTGGTCATAGTCCTGACCATATCATTCAGGGCAGCCTACCTGCCCAGGTATTATGGACTGTCAGCCTTCCCTGTGCCCCCAAACCTTTGGCCTAGAATGCAGAGCTGCCAACATAACATTTGTCCTTCTGAACAGATGGAGTCAGGCACACTAACACACCTTCCTGTCCTCAGCAGCAGAGCCATTACTGCCACTTGCTCAGTCACTGTTGTAAACCCTCAGAGTCAGCGAAACTATTTTAGGGCCAAACATACTGTTTTTGTAAAGTATTTTTCATTAATAAATCTTTAAGATAGTTGTATTTAATTCCTTGTCATTTAATTGTCTATTTAATGCCTTTTGTATGCTCTTGCTCTTTTGTGTTGGGGGTGGGGAGGGAGACCTGGATAAGCAAAAAAATACCAATTCCCAGTGGCCTGGGGCTCCCAAAGAGAGAGCCATGGCACAAACATACGTGTGTGTGTGTGTGTGTGTGTGTTTGTGTGTGTGTATGGCTTTTGAGTGAAGGTGAGGAGCTAAATAGTTTAAGAATAGTTGAAGGATATATACTGAAGGTAGGAATCAATGGGCCCCTAAAGTGGAATGACTTTCCTTGTTATTACTGCTGCCTAGTATATTCCTTATTCCTTTCCTGCTCAGAGGCACTCACTATATTACATGCTTCCTCCTTTCCTCCTTAGGGTGATTTTCTTGCGATTCAGACCCTCTTAGAAACTCACTCCTGATCTATGTACTCTTGGTGCCCTCCGTCTACAAGTTTGTGATGTGCCTCCTATCCCTTCCTTGTTCCCATGGCTGCCCCTCCCCTTGCCTTCCTTGTGGAATTTCTGCACTTACACTGGTGGTCCTCAAATCTTTGAAGCACATGGTTGTTGACAGTGAAGTGGAACAATTATTGCTCAGAAAGATCCATTTTCACCTCTGCCTCACTCCCAAATTCTCCCTCTAAAAGATGTTTTGTGGGCTCCCTTTGCAAAGAATACCCTTTGGACAATTTCCTCTTCTTTTTCCCCGGGTCTCAAATCATTGAGATTGACAGAAGAGTCAGAAAGGTGTTCTTTGAGACCTTTGGACCACTGCTTACCTAATTAACATCATCCATTATGAACAGATTCTGAGCACATTGAGTATTCGGCAGGAGGATGGGCCCGAATTTCTACCCCCACTGTGCCATCAAGACATAGAGCTTAGTGGATACACTGGTCTCTGTCCATGATTCAGTATATCTCTTACTGTCATACACACACCTTCTAATAATTATTGATTGAACAATCAGTCCTTGTGCCACTATCCCCTTTCCCATGAAGGTCTGTCCCTATAAAGTTTCCTTAAGTCACCTGGGCTCAGATTCTGTATGTGCACAGAAGTACTATATGTAGTATCTCTTATGAGAAACTAATTTCCAATTTCCAATTCTCTATATACTCCTCTGCCTTCTAAATCTCTTATTTTCTGAATGGATCGAGAGGGAGGCTTTGTCTTTTTCAGGTGAATTCTGTAGACTTTGAACATCTCTTGGTGTCATCCCTTCCTTTCCCCTTAGCTGCTTTGATTCCTAAGCCTTGGAGCCTATTCTGCTCTACCTGTTTTAACCCTGTACCTTCAGACTCTTGACAGTTACAGGCTCTAAACATAAGGGCCAGCTTCTCAAACTCCATTTTGAACAGTTAACTTCTCTCCAGAACCTACAATGCCTCGTCTATTTTCCTGCCGTTACCAACCAAAGTACCCAGATTTGGTAGCCAAATTGTTATACATTTTTTCTCTATTAGTATATTCTTTTTTTTTAATTTTTTAAGATTTTATTTATTTATTTGACAGAGAGAGACACAGCGAAAGAGGGAATACAAACAGTGGGAGTGGGAGAGGGAGAAGGAGGCTTCCCGCCGAGCAGGGAGCCCGATGCGGGGCTTGATCCTAGGACCTGGAATCATGACCTGAGCCGAAGGCAGACGCTTAACGACTGAGCCACCCAGGCGCCCCTCTATTAGTATATTATGAGGTTTAAGTCTCCCCATCGTACCGGGAGCTCCATGAGAACCAGTGTCATGTTTCCTCGCACTCATTCACTGCCGCTACTAGCAATAGACAGCCCTCCCTCTTCACTCTCTATTGTTTCTGCGGGCCCAGAATTTTAACCTGATCCCTTGGCCTGTTTCTCTCCCAGCCTCAGTAATTTTGCCCAGGTCCCTAGAGTCTGCCCCGCCCCCGCCCCCGCAAAGCGCGGTGCATGCCGGTCTTAGCCCCTCTGTAGGGAAAGAGGGTCCGCCATGTTCCCCGGCGGCGCCGCCGCTTGGCTCTGGTAGCCGCCGCCCCCGCCCCCAGCCCCGCCCGGCCCAGCGCCTAGCCGAGCCCCGGGCCCAGCATGGCCGCCCCGGAGCCGGCCCGGGCTGCACCGCCCCCACCCCCGCCCCCGCCGCCCCCTCCCGGGGCTGACCGCGTCGTCAAAGGTGAGAGGTGGACGAAGCCCTGGGGGCCTGGCCTGAGGAGCTGTGTGTGAGGGCGGGCGGGAGACCGTCCCCTCCGGAGCGGGCCCGGAAGGGCGGGCGAGTGACTGGCTGCCTCCCTTGGGGAGTGGCCCCTGGGCGGGCCCCTGCTGGGCTGGGCTGAGTCGGTAGCGGCGGCTCCGCCGTTTCTCGCCTGCCTTCAGGCCCGAGGCGGGCGTTTCGCTCTTGAGGTCTCCTAGCCGTAGGGGTGAGTCTCCTAGCCGCAGTGAGCCCTTTTCTTTTTCTCCTGGGCCTGTCAAAGCGTCCCAGAGGCCGCGAGTAGCTTCCTGCCCCGCGACAGCTGCACGCTTGGCTTGCCTGGGCGGACCGAGGGGCTTGGAGACCTTCAGCCACGCGGGGCCGGGCGATGAGCAGTCAGAAATCACCTCGGCTTTGGCCCACGCCTGCTCCCCAGTGACAGCCGTCAGCCCGATTCGCGCCTAGTTAGCGCCAGCCGCAGGGTTTCGCGCTTGGCCCTCAGGTGTCACTCCACGCGGAAACTGGGGGAACCGTGTGGGATTGGACAAGGGTGAAGAGACGAAGCAGCATTTGGGGGCCCCGGCTTTAAGTGCAGAATAGATGGAGAAAAGGCAGCATAAAAGGAAAAAAAGCGCCTTGTGGATAGGAAGAAACATTTACTTAGAAAACCGGTCAACATAAAGACCAAAAGGGGTTATCCCTCACCTTGCGAACAAACACCCATAGAAGAAAAAAATTAAATATTTCTCAGCTGGGGCAGAATTTATGTATGTTTACCGACAACAGATAAGCAGATTAATTTCAAATAGAGATATTGAGGCAAATTGACTGTTGCTTAAGATTTCCATGCTCTCTGGGAGAGCCCATCAACTTCAAACACCGCTGTGGAGGTGAAAAACAATCTGAAGTGATTTTTCTTTACTGTGTAGCTTGGTCAATTGACATCATTTTAGAATAAAGTTTTCTTTGTTGTGTTACATTTATTTTGGAAGGCTAGATACTTCTTTTACTTATTTATTTTCATTCAGCTTCTCAAATATACTGGCACAATGTTTATTAAACATTGGTAGTCCAGTTTTTGAAACTTGACCAGATATGTTTCCATTAAAATATTTAAAAACAAGAAAACCTTTTTCCTTTGTGTTTTTTTTTTAATTTTAATTTTTCAGTTTGAGCCTTCTTTAATAATAACACTGATTTATATCCAGGCTTGTGTAGACAATTTTTAAAAGTTAGTAGTATATCCAATTGGGCCAGGCATTGGAATGAGCTGAATAAAGGGTTTATGGCATTCTTGTCCCGAGAAATCTTTATAAAAAGAGAAGAAGAAGAAAAAAAAAAAGATTGGTAGTTCAGATTGGTTGTCCTAACATGAAATCCTGGAGTTTTGTGGGGGTTGGGAACAGAGACATGGGCTGCTGCTTCATTTTCTGACTATATGTGTTGTTTGTCCATTCCCCTGGGCACTTTTCACTGTACTATTAGTTAGGACAACCAGTCACATTCCCGAGCAATGAGTTTGTGCTATCCTTATGCTTGTGAATCTTATTGTTTTTTTGTCATACATATGATAATGTTTTCCTCTACTGTACTGCTTTAATAACAGTAAAAATAAGATTCCAAACATAAAGGCATATTCCTTAGGGGTGAGTTGTGAATCCAGGATGGTCACATTTGCAAGTTACTGATTTGGAATAAAAGTTACTTGATTTAAATAGGAAAGGAGCTTGTTGGTGTAGAAAATTATAGTTATGTAGAGCTCATAGGTATAAGATCTCATGTGCTTAGTAGCATATTCTTCACCAAAACAACTTTCATTTCTTTATGGAATTTGTTAGCAGCTGGAATGCCTGATATGGATCACATGTTTAGAGATGGTGGCAACAGACTGGTTTGCACTGCTCATGGAGTCTCCGCTCTGGCCTTCGCAGAAATTACTGGGAAAATCACCTTTCATACAGAAATCCACTTTTGGGGATTTCATCTTCAGGCTTCTTGCCTGCCTTCTTTCAATAATTGTACCATAATGTTATATTTGATGAGAGAGAACACCCTTGTCAGAACATATATGGCCACAGTGCTAGTTCAATTTGTTAAAATCCAGATTTCTTATAAGTTTAGTATGTGCTATTTTTGCATCTGTATCATTTCATAGTAGTAATATCATGGAGACCATTGTTGGCATTGAATACAAGTAGTCTTCTACTCCCTGAACCTTTTCCTTATAGTTTCTAAATTTTATACTCTTACACTTTTAGTCAGGAAGGCTATATTTTATGGTCATGACAGTTTCGCAAGGGCTATAGATCTTTCTGTGTTTAATATCATGTGCCTAAAGTTCACTTCATACGAAGTTTGAGATCTTGGAATACTGTAGGTGATTCACGTATCAATTTAAATAGCTTTTCACTGAAATTATTAAAATTATTAATGGTGATTCCATATCGCTGATTATGGGCAATTAGGTTTCCTGGCTAGTTAAAGCAATTTAATTTTTTTTTTTAATTTTATTTATTAGAGAGCAAGAGAGCATTGGGGGTGAGGGTAGGGACAGAAGGAAGAGGATGAGCAGATTCCCCGCCAAGCGTGGAATCCCGAAGCTGGGCTTGATCCCAGGACCCCAGGATCATGACCTGAGCAGAAGGCAGAGCCACCCAGGCTCCCCAGCAATTTCATTTCTGAGCCTACTCCAGCTGCTGCTGGCTCAGGTCAAATTCTGTTTGAAAGTTGCTATAGCCCAGTGGTTTGGGTGAGATAGTATGCCCTCTTAACCATTTTCTGTTAAGCATTTTTCTATTCCTCAGCTAAGATAAGTTGGAAATAAGAAAATGGAAACAAACTAGGAAAAATGGCTAATTGTATCTGCATGACTGCCTTACTGCCACATCAGCAAAATTGGTATGGGTAATTACAACATAAAACCCTGAGTTTATGCATATTGCTTTCCTCACCGCCCCCCCCCGCCCAATTTACTCAACCTGAATTATCCAGATACTACCCTACCTTTTATTTCTGGATATTTTAAAAATGTACTTTTTACCTCATCTACACGATGAGGTCCCAGATTTGTAAACTTCAATTGTCTCTTGAGATTATTGAATCTGCTAGTCTTGATATAAGAATCCACCTTTATCACTTAGAGGGCATTGTCTATATTGTGTATATGTTCATTTTAGTATGCACACTGTGACTTTCCTTTGTATTCAATATATTTTCTTTATTTCCTAGGTTATATTAACCATGTCTTAAATTATCAGACTTTCAGATTGAACCAAAATGCTGAAGTGTGTGTGTGTGAGTGTTAAGTCTGAGGTCATTTGGCTCAAGTATTTTCTAGTACATAGCTTTATTAGGATTGCTTATTTTCATTACAGATTGCTAGATGACCCAAATAGGTCTTTGGGTCACATGGCTACTTCAGTATTTCTCGCTAGTTCTATTTCATCATATTTTAAAGCAACTTGAATTTTAATTTTTGTTTACTAAATGTATTTTGTGGACTTACCTATCTAAAAAGATAACTCTTGAAAATAATTTTTCTTTTTCCTCCCACCCCCATTAAATTGTTAAGCATTCTAAAATAAATCTTCGGTACCATGTGTCCTAGAGAAAGCAAGGGAACAGAGAAAACAGTGTCTGTGAGTGTGTGTGTATGAGAGAGACAGAGACAGAAAGAGAGGAAGGGAAGGAGAGAGAACATTGTGGTAACAAGTCATCTTAGAAGAAAAATGCCAAGGAAGAAATATAGCTGCTTAGTAGTAAGGCAAAAGCTTTAGGTTCCAGAGTTATTGAATGAGCAAGAGTTGTAAGGAAAAGTTTGATGAAAAGAATCTTGTTTTATTAAATGGAGTGTATTTTAGTACCAATCATATGACTTCATTTTATCATAAAAATGTTTATTTATACACAGATAAAATTAGCTGAAGATAGTTGGGCATTCTTGGATGTTATGTAAAATTTATTTTGGACATCAAAGTAATCAAATAGCAAATATTTATGAAATGCGTGCTGTATGCTGAAAACTGTAGGGAGACAACAGAAGTATAAAAAAATGAAGAATAGTCTTGGTCCTTGGAGAAATAAGTACTCATGAAAAGTTATTTATATATGTCATAAGGATGGGTGCAATTAATAATTGCCAGATAAGTGACTTGAGTTCAAAGGAGGTAGTGATGTCTCTGGACTGGAATGGTCAGTCTAACAAGGGTTTATACAAGGAAAAAAGAGGCCTTGAAGGAAGGGTAGGATTTAAATAGGCAGAGGATTGGGACCATTTATTTGTGCAACATTTATTGAGTACTTGCTTTGTACCAAAGCATAATAAGCATTGAAGATACAGAATTGGATTAGTATAATTAAGTAAGATGCTCTTGGAGTGCTGGCAGTCTAGTGGGGGAGACATTATTGCAAATGAATAATATAACAAGGTATGTACAAAGTGCGGTTGGAGCTGTAAAGAAGGAGTTAACTCTCTTATTTGGAGAAAAAGCATCAATGAGAGGATTATGTTTTGAGGTGGGCCTTGAAGGATGAGTAGAGTTTTTCCAGATAGAAGGTAGGACTGGAATAGAGGAAACAGCAGCAGAAAGACGTGGAGTTTGAAAAAAAAACTTGAAAATGTGAGACAGTAGTGTGTAATTGCTTGGCTGTGAGTGGCAGGAGATGATGTTGGAAACCATTTTTTGTACACTAAGTTGAGGAGCTGAAACTTAAGCTAGTAAGCAGTATAGCCTCTGGATGATTAAGAGGCTTTGGAGTCCAGTTGCCTGGGTTTGAATCCTAGGTTACCTTAATAACCTTTTCACTGTGGACAAGGTACTTGATATCACCAAGCTTCAATGTTCTCATCTGTAAAATAGAATTCATAAAGTATTATTATGTGGTTTTTGAAGGGTTAATGGAGATAGTCTATGTAAAGTATGTACCTCAGTGGATGGCCTGGCACATGATTGTTTCTTGAGATTATTGAATCTGTTAGTCTTGAT